TCATTGGAAACCTTAGCTTGTATAAATTAGTAAGATTACTAGAAATGAGGTCAGGCACCTAGTTTCCCCTGTAAAATTCAAGCGAATGATTGTTTTTCTTAGAAACTGTCTAAGATTTCTCGGATTGTTTGCTAAACTATTCAGTTAATGAAACACAATTATTATCATCAAAAAGTTTTATATAAATAAAACATTCTCCGAACAAATATAAATGTGGGTTTTTGCGGAGATCGTAGTAATTTAAAGGTTGAATATATGAGTTAATTGAAGCTAGACCACCATGGAAAACCTAGAAGCACTGGATGCCCGTTTCGTTTGATACCGGCTCAGTGATCTAGAGGTTTAGCGTTTGGTCTCGAGACCGAAGGTCCCGGGTTCGAGTCCCGCGTGCGGGACCATGGATATATTGACGATACTTCCACAACTCTGGATCTGAACAGAAATGTAAAGTAGAAATTCATTATTATCAAGTTATTTATCACTATCTTTTGTGCAGGCAGCCATCTTTTATTATTTGCTAATTGGTTCGTAATGACTGTTTGGAACCTTTGTGTGGTTTCTATATTTCAATACTTTATACTAATTTACTGAGTTAGTTTGCACATGTAGAGAGCGTACTTTCAGACAAAATAGCCAACAATTTATTTAGGATCGACCTTCATGATTAGGCAAAAATCAAACAAACTCAACACACATCAATTTTAAATCACATTTTGTCAACATTGGTTATGTGATGGATAAGACTATGACGGTCAGTTTCGTTTCATCTATTTAAATGCATTAAATTACACTGCTTGTTCACAAACTTCATTAGTTAATCTTACGTTAGTTTTAAAGATTATTAATCTTAATGAATTCCTCTAAGTTAATAAATGCTGAAATATTTTCTTTATCTTACTGCTATATCTTGATTGTTCTTATACTTACTATTAAATCTATCATAATACAATCAATTATTATTGCCTAATTATTATGATTAGTCTTACAATCAACACGGTTTTCTGTTACTGGCCGACAAATTAAATTGATGATTTTAGTTTTTTATGTATCTGTTGCTCAACGATGGTATCTAAATTAATTCAGTGCTGCCTTCTAATCATAAAGTCTGGTTGTATTGACATCTGAAAATAAGATAATTCTATGAATGAAAAATACAATGACTATTAAAAACCAATAGAAATGAATAATAATCTTTCGATATTCCACTACAGCATTACATTCAAACACGTTTTCAATAACTTGGAGAAGCATTTTCGATAATAAATCAATTTTCAATTTTATTGTTAAATGAACGACTTTCTAGTTTGGTGTTTTTTCTCATGTAAAGTAGTGCCGTATAGTGTTACACAAATAGTAAGAAGAATTCTGAAACTTGCTAAATATAACGTTTGGAAATTTCGTAGATAACCATGAGAATACATAATAATATAAAATAAATTTCGTTTAGGCAGCCAATCACTTATCCGGGAAGAAAATCTATATCACCAATGGAAAAATGACTAAATGAATTGAATTTGTTGGCTTTCTGTCTTAAAATAAGGTCAAATATACACACTACAGAAGAGGTTGTACCAGGTTCTAGGTATCGGGACAATATTCAATATTTTTTCAGCTAACTGAGCCTCCCGAGTTTAAAATAGACTGTGGAAAAAAGGAACGGTGATGAATAACATCTATGGAAAAGTCATCTGGAATTTTTCTTGACATCTTATATATATATATATATATTATAAGAGAGAGTTTAATTTAATTCTTTTACCTATCAAGCTGCATTTTGTATCCAAATGTATTTCTCAAGTAAAAGGTTGGACAATTTGCTAGAGGCAAAATAATATAATGCAAAATTGAATGATGTACCATAATATATAAATTAAGACATATTTAAATATCAATCTCTTGTCGATCTCAGTAATGACCTTCAGTTTCAATAATATTACATTGACCTCATGCATAAATAAGGATATTTTTGTTATTTTAATCTGTGAAATAGAATAGTGGTATAAAATATGTAATGTGTTTAAACTGGTCATCTGGATAGTGGATAGTAGTGCAATCCTGAAAGCAGGTCTCAGAACACATCACATGAATGTACTTATATACCAGTTTAGATGTTTCCATGAAGAACCGACATACGATACCCATCTCATTAGAGCTCTTTAAATTCGACTGCTGAGTCATAATAACTACCAAGTTGTACAACATTTACGACATTTACTATTAATTAAGGATTTCCATTTTCTCATTGTTTCTTCAGCGATACATTCAGCCTCAAAAATCATGATATTAAGTGTGGAATCTGAAGTCTTGTCAATTATTGTTAAAGGGAAAAACGTTAACAATAAACCAACTAAGTGCCAACTATCCTTCGGTAGGGCTGAAATGTTTGTATTACTTGATCGTATTTAAGTAAACTACCAAATGAACATAAAGCTATCCTTATTTGTCAGTAAATTACTTACTTACTTTTTACCCCCCCTAGTCTAGAACAAACCTTTTCAGTTGTTTCCAATTGCTATTCATTCTATTGATGTCTACCCAGAATTCCCGATGCAATGTGTCCCGTCGTAATCTCTTCCACTTCCATTCAAGATCCCAAGTTACCGCCTGCCTCGTGATGCAGTTTGAGGATTTCCGGAATGCACGTTCTATGCACTTCCAGCGTCTTTTACCAATTTCTTCTTCTGCTGGAAGCTGGTTTGCCCTCTCCCACAGTAGGCTGGTGCTGCTGGTATCCGACCAACGGATGTTGAGTATCTTGCGTAGACAACTATTTATAAATACTTTCACCTTCTTGATAATGTTTATAGTAGTTCTCCAAGTTCCGGCTCCGTACAGTAGAACTGTTTTGATGTTCGTATTGAAGATTCTGACTTTGATATTGGTTGACAGTTGTATTGGGTTCCATATATTATTCACCTGTGGGAATCTTGTCATTGTTTTGCCAATCCGTGCCTTTATGTTTGCATGTGATCCTCTTTGTTCATCGATGATGCTCCTGACCAGCTACGTAAAACTTTCCACCTCTTCCAGAGCTTCTCCATCAAGTATGATTGTGTTGGTGTTCTCTGTGTTGTATTTGAGGATCTTGCTGTTTCCTCTGTATGTGTTGAGGCCTACTGATGCACGGGCTTCTGCTACACTGATCGTCTTGACCTGCATTTATTGGTGTGGATGAGATAGAAGGGCTAGATCATTTGCGAATTCGAAATCGTCTAGTTGCATCCAACCTATCTATTGAATTCCATCCTTCCCTTCAGATGTCAAGGTCTTCATAATCCAGTCGACCACCAGATTAAAGGAAAGGAGATAGAGTAAGCACACTTGTCTGACTTCGCTCCTTACTTGGAATGCATCTGTCAACTGTCCTCCATTCACGCTTTTGCGCTGTAGTGCGTCGTTTGAATTCCGGATGGTTTTTACGATTTTCTCAGGTACTCCATAGTGTCGAAGTTTCCATAGTGCTTTCCTACCTAGACTGTTAAATGCTTTCTCATAGTTAAGGATGTTGATGTATTGTGACGAGTTCCATCCTACTGACTGTTCAATGATGATCCGCAGTGTCGTGATTTGGTTTGTGCACGACTGATACTTACAGAATCCGGCCTGTAGATCTCGAAGTCTGAACGTCTACTGTGTCTTTCATCCCGTTAAGGCACACTCTTTTGAAAACTTGCTCGGTACTGACAGTAGTGTAGTGCCTCTGTAGTCTTCACATGTACTCATATCCCCTTTTTTGACATCTTGGCAAGATATCTTTTTCTCAGTCTGTCAGCACTTGTTCTTCCTCCCAGATGTTCTTGAAAAGAACGTGAAGTATGACTTACCAAAGAAGGAGGAAAGCAGCCTTGTACAAACTCTATGCTTGAACAGAGCTTATAGTGAACAATCATCGGACACGATAGACTGAAGTGGAGTTCGTCTGAGTTGTTTGTTTTCAACAGTTTTATTCAACCTTTTGTAGATATCCTTTCAGAAACGGTGATCCTATTGTCTAACTTTTCTGGAATTGATCTCCTACAAGGCGATACACACGTTCACTTTGAATAAATAATATAGTCCGATTCGGCAAGAATGGAGAAAAAATCAGTCTTATGACTACCTTAAGTAACAATTCAGTCATGTTGAGAATGTGATTCTCTTCAACTAAAGAAAAACATTGCTTCAGGATCGCCCTATGTCAGCACCTTAATTAATGATGTAGATTGAAGTGATTGAGTTCGTCAATTTTTCCAGTTATCATAGAAGTCTGATCAGTTCTATTAGGCCAGTGCCTGGTGAATTCTCGGTTCGGCCTAGTTTTGCGATGTAGACAAGGCATCTGTCATCCAACAAAGGATAAATTTATTGCTCAGAATTCTGTAGTTTTACATTATAGTTATGAAACATGGTCTTTAAAAAATCAAGATATATGTGGGTTATTACACCCACAGAGACCTTCGAAGTTTTGATCACGTAAGTTGGGATTACTTAGTGATAAATGCTGAGATCAGACTAGGTATTAGGTAAGTATAAAGAATCATCGTATGTCGAAACTCCACCTACCTGGATCTATTATAATGGCCAGCGTAGGAGTAAGTTGGAGACAGCTAGTGGCTGTTCATGAAGTCATTGACTTTTGGGATGAGAAATGCTATTTAGCTGGAGATCACCTGGTAAATTTCATCTCGGTTATCACGTACAATCGTTAGAGACTTTGGTTGACATGGGTTGTAATATTTCACAATCTGCATATGTATTAAGTTTTTGTTTCCCTTGTAAACATAAGTTTCACAATCAACCTAAAAATTCTTTTATATCACACCAATCCATACTTCTTGATATATATATTCGATACTTAATATTTGCTACTACCACTAATTCTGTTATTACTGAAACTATTCTGGTAACTCGTTATACTAATGTGGTGTAGTAACTTGGACTAATACACATATGATAGATGCTTCGTTAAGTATGACTGACTGAGAGGCGTTTCACTATAAATATAACTGAGAAAAACTGAGTAGTAATGAGAATAATTTAATTGATATATAAGTAAACACAGTTTTAAACTTTCTTCTAAAATTCAAATGAAATGAAGTTTATTCACAACCGGTTATATCACAACCATTACTGTTTATCACAACCAAATTAAAGTTTTCAAATATTCTTTAGTGAATAAATAAGAGAATAATATTTTTGATTGATTTATCCATCAATTGTTCAATAATGATTACGATCCATATGACGTTTATGTGCCCATAAATTCCAAAATTGTCGTCCATAATAACTTCCAGCTGGAACAACATCTGGTTCAGTTTTTCTACTACAATCTTGTGTACAACGACGTGCATATAATTTGCCTTCACAACACCATCCTGGTGGACAATCATAATCAGCTACACATAAATTTCGATAAGATCCAACAATTTTATTTCTAGCATTTCTAAGTTGACATTGTACTATCATTTGAAATAAAAATAAATAATTCAAAATAAGAATTCTTTTTAAAAAATCATATTATATATATAAGGAATATTTATAGCTTATCTTAATATATTACTTAATAAATCAGTTATATGGTCATCAATGTAGAATATATCACAAAACAGTAATTTCTACATACATATGGCAACTATATAGATAATAAATATCATGCATTGATAGATCATTTATGGAAATAAAGATTGATTCTTCATAGAATAATAAGTTCGTTAAGGAGATGTATATTATTCATAAAGTGAACAATTCATGTTCACTACTATTCATTTATATTAAATTATTAAGGTTCATATCTATATTTGTTTATTATACATCAAACAAAGGTTAAGCAGAGTGGAAATTTATAGGTTACTAAGGTAAATTTATTTAAACAAGTTTCAATGTGAAATGATTTCTTGATTCATTTGAAATCATTTTAAAAAAAGATTTAATGAATTATAAAGTATGATAAAAGTCTGTATAGAGACTAACTACTTTATAATTTGTACAATAAGTGTATTTAAACAAAATGAAAAAAAAACATTTTCTGAAATGAACGTTTACCTTTTCTTTAAAAAAAATAATAAACCAGCATATTTAATTAGAGATATGATGAAGCATTTAAAAAGTGACCTCAAAGTGACAACTATACTTTACAAATTATACAAGTTTAAATATTTCCTACAAGAGAATAGCGGTTAAGTCAAAAAAATATTGGTAATATCACTTTATGTATGATAAATATTCAATTTTAAAAAAGATGAGTAGTGTTGTGACTTTATGTAGTGGTTGATTTTTACCCTGTGCTAATTGTTGTGTCCTTGACTGAAAAACTAGAGAGCAGCGTATTTATCGACCGATTCAATGACACGTAAACACGTACGAACGTAATGGACGACTTAGAGTTACGATTGGTCCCGATTCCCTTTCTATCCCAGGCAGTCGAGTCCAGAACACAAATCTCAGCCTCTGAGTTATGAATCATTGTATTTCAGACATACTCTATTTATATACTAACCAAACATACCACATCGTACCATAAAAATAGAAAACAACATTTTGTACCATATTCAACAAGTGGACAGATATCGACCAGTAGGAAATGTCCATTTAAAGTCCAAGGACACCATTGGACTTAACATGATAATCATTGGTCTATCCTTCGCATCCACAACAAGTAGATATTGAATATTTAAAACTAAAGAAAAAATACGTCTTAGATACTAGTCATTTGAAAATCAGTAATATATGTGCATTATAAGCAAAGATGGGTAGTGGCTAGCAGTGGAACACATGACGCGCGTTTCGTCCTGTTTGGGACTCGTCAGCTGGATGTACCTGCATCTCAGAGTTGATGTTCACTCTGGGACTCGAACTCAGTACCGTTCGCTTCAAACGCCATCGCGTTATCCACTTAGCTACTGAGTCCTGATAGCCACTTGCTTGTGCAATGTGGTGAAGTTTAATTCACTTGATATTGTTTTTACTTGAATCTTCCCATTGATGTTTTAGGACTGAAATTGATCAGTCTCTTATTGGCATATCATCAATGGGAAGATTCAAGTAAAAACAATATCAAGTGAATTAATATATGTGCAGTTACAATCACCTTGTTGACTCTAAGTAATTAGTAAAGTGAGTAAATAATAATAATAATTGTGCTTATTTTAATCGTAGAAAAAAATCCATCCTCCTAATAGTGGTGATGATAACAGCTTACGTTTCGATTTTAGTTTTTAGAGAAAAAACAAGCAGATTTCGAAGAATATTGAAATTAACTACTACCCTTATTTAACTGCAATAAACGAAACGTACTTTTGAATAATTTACCCTGACTTAGTTATAAAATAACTGGAATTTGAAGTAATATTTAGTCCATTAACAATTAAACTATTTAGAACAACATATATAAGCAAACAATATTGTTTTCGATTAGATCCTCATCAGGCTTTACTCTAATATACAGTAATATTTATATGCATATACCTACAACTTTATTTTCTCTCAACTATACGTTTAATGGTCCAATTATCTGAACATTTCTTATTACGTCATCTTATATTTTTATAATTGTTATCTCAGTTTCTATATTTTTATGATCATTGACCTATTTCAGATTATGTAACATTGATTTGAACCTTTATTATTCTTATCAAACATAGTACACCTGTCATCACACTAGTAATTTGTACTTTTCATATTTTACACATTATGTAATCGTTTTCATTGTTATCGTTGACTTATAATAAACTACCTTGATTGGTTTAATAATTTCGTATATGCATATAAATATTACTGTATATTAGAGTAAAGCCTGATGAGGATCGAATCGAAGACAATATTGTTCGCTTATATATGTTGTTCTAAATTTACAATATGCGAATATTTCAAATTAAACTATTATAACAAATGAATACAATATAAAGTAATTGAACTAAATATAAAAATGTATATTAAATCAACCGGCTAAAGCGATCTAACTAAAAATACAAAGTATACTGAATGAATCCATTTAATCTGTAGTTGAAATTTTAATACCAAGTATTATGAAATGATTAAAATTTCTTAAAATAAACAAATAATTTACAAGGGTGAAAAGTTTTTCGAATTTGATGTCATAAAACTGAATGTGATTAAATGAAATTTATTGAAAATAAAACTTTTATATGTATATTATTGAAATACGTACATTTATTAATGAAATGAGTGAAGCTGATTTGAAGTATTTTTCGATTGATATCATGAGCTGGGATTCGAACCCACGAGCGGGATTGTGGATGCCCATTGCTGAGGAGTCTCATAATAGGAAATAACAACCATTCAGTGCTTCCAGGTTTTCACTGGTGGTCTATCATCAATCGGTTCCTGATGTTAATGAAAAACTTAATAATCTCAAAAACCCTGTACTGATGACTTGAAATAATTGATATACAAGAAATAATCTCTATGTTGATATTGTTGAATGTTCTCATATAATCTTTTGACTTTACATTAAATAAACATGCTTGAGTAATTTTAATGTTAAACATGACAATATCAAAATTTCCATTTCTTAATGAACACTTTCGATTTAACATGGTAGAAGTATAAGAAAATCATGTTTATCATATTTCGATATATGTAAAACATGTTAATAGTTTTGAACAATACTTAGAGTGTTACTATAGATTCAGTATATGGTTTATTAACAATATCAGCATAACATTTAAATAAATTGCATTACAAGTTGAAACTAACAAAAAGATATAACAGCTATGAGTATCGACTGTATGCATTTTCAATGCATAGATATTATTATTTTGCATTAAGTATAACATGACAAAGCTCAGTGAATAGTTCTGAACACTTTCATTTGTTACGATAAAAACATAATGCTTCAGCAGTATCATGGGAGAAATTGACAGTATACTTAAGAGAATTACTTCATAAAACAATGCAAAGATTTATTTCAGGTTTTAGAATTTTCAACTGATATTAACTTTTGATGAAAGCCGTCCACAAGAAAGCTACTTGTTTCGTAACAATATTGCTAGTTTATGTAATCAAAGTTTTAATTTGTATGAAGTCCTAAATATTTCATCTGTCATACAAACATTCTTTAAAAAGCTATAAAATTAAAAATGTGTTCTGTAAACCGGTGGTTCGTTTATTCAGGTTTCACCATTATTAGTGATCATACCTGGCCTTTCCTAGGTCAAATCTGAAGCCTCATTGTTTTAGGGACTAGTCTACCACTTGGCACATCAATACTCATGTAATTAGATTACATTATTGCATAATCTAACTTTATGAGATACTCATAATGAATTATTCATGCTACCAACGTAATAAGTGTTTCTGTATAGTAATAAACTTAATCTTACTTACAATCAGGGCTGCATTCATACTCTTCACAACAATTGAAATCATCCATGCATTCCTCTCCTTCCATGCCACACTAAAATGTAGGAAGTTAAATAAAAAAAATGGTCATATATACTCTCATTTATCTGTTATAATGTTATTCTCGTAATCTGATATCAGTGTTAACAATTCTAGAGCAACCATTGCTCGTAAAAACGAATACCATGCAAATAAATGGCGTCTGTAGATTAATTATTTTGTTTAATAAATAAATTCCACTGAATGACCAGACTATATACTGTTTTATCATTTTAAAAAGTCTTATCTCAAAAAACAATCAAATTTAAAGACGTACCGGATGGATAGTACAATAACTTTGGGACTCTTTTACGGTCTGGTATTGTTTATATTTCTCTGTATGAGTAACTAATAGCTAGATTATTATGTTCATGTATTTCCCTTATTTTAGGTTACCACTGAACCTTTAGCTGAAAGTGAAGAGAGTCAGCTCTCCCTCTCCAAACGCTCTCATATAACCAAGCGTATACAGTCACTGCCAGGGACTTCCAACTCACTGCCTTCTCGTGACGGGGGTGTTGATTACGAAAGTGAATGTTCGGCGCTTAAACATGATTGGCGAACACGGGGGATCCACCTAGGGGAGTTAGAAAACCTTTATTCCAAACCAATGGTACACATGAGATCCAGGATCTTGACGGAGAGGTGGGACTGTATCCCCTGACGTTGCTCCACTGCCTTAGAGATTAGACCTTTAGGTCGAATGCTCCTGGTGTGGCACCCAAAGAAAACCACCTACTTCGGTTTGGGCATCCACACATAAATGAAGTGACTTGTGTGGCGCATATGTGTTCAGTGTCCCTTTGTGCCAATATTTATGTATTCAAATAGTAAATAATAATAATAATAACTCGGACTACAGGAGAGTGCTGCAAAATTTTAATGAGTGCATTTATTTTGAGCTCTGGAAATGTGGGCTAGCGAAGGTAAATACAAATAAAAGTAATCATGAATTACTTCCCTCATAAGGTACAATAGATGTTTGACAAACTGAAGCCTAATTAAGATCCCTATATAAAACTTATATCACTGAACTTAATGAATGATAACTATATATCTTTATGCTATATTCTACCTTAAAATATGCCCTGAGTTGCTACAACATAAGCAAAAGATAATTGCTAAATGAATTGACATATATATGACATAATTTAGATTATATCAATCGATAATCTTGCATGTTTGTAACTGAAAAATCTCTTCATTTTTGAGATTCAAATATTAATAGCCCAAAATATAACCATATTATTTTAGTGTACGAATTTCGTAGGTAACTAGGTGATTATTGATCATTATATTACTTTCTGTGTTATATTTCTATGGAATAATAGCTGTTTTGAAGGCTACATTCATTTTATCGTGGTATTCTGCTGTACAGGAATATATTGAATAAAAACTTGGAACATCATCACCTACTCTATCGGAATGTAATCAACCCATATAACGCAACTATTAATATAGTGAACAAAAACACGTGTGGGAACGAACAATTCTACTTAACAAAAGAATTACAGACTATCTCAATAAAATCTGAAAACCATATCATAAATCGTCAATTTGCAAAACATTAATGCATCATATCAAACTAGACTGTTCCTGTTGCAAACACCAATCCATTGTCTCCCATTCCATTGTTCATGCGTTTTCTTACAAATTCCATTGTGTTCTCGCTCTTTCTTTTTTGATCTTCCCCTCGTCTTTTGCTGCCAGACATTACGTTTTAACTCGCATCATATACTACTTATATCGATATAAGTAGCACGCACCACACTACTACTACTATTAGAAATGTTCTTTGAATGTAATCTTACAGAAATATAATTTAGCTGATTTAAACTCAGTAAAATTAACCCTAATGAGACTTCTTTTAAAAAAATTTTATGCATAAAACTGTGAACAGTTACTACCTAAGAGTTGGAAACTAAGAAAAAAACAACTATATATCATTTTCTTAAGCTTTCAATGACGTAGTTCAGTAGATGAATTATTGTAAAATGGGATTACTAGTTCATTCATTGATGTTCGTGCTGATACAGTAATCTAGCTTATACAAATAGAATGATTAAATAGATACTTATCTAATTCAACGTCAGTGTCAATCCTTGATAGATACACGCTAGCATCTTATGCAGTCTATGAATTTACTTGTGTTTCGAAATGCATGAGAAAATTCAGTTACAGCTTTTTTAAGCGAACATTTCCAGTCTTCTAAAGTACTTCAGATATTCCTAAAGTGATTTGAAGTTTCATATTTTCGTCTTATTTGGGACTCGTCAGTTGGATATACCGGCATCGCAGAGTCGATGTTCACTTCGGGACACCAAATATATATATATATATATATATATATATATATATATATATATATATATATATATACATCAAACTGAGTTCTGATAATCTCACGCATAATGAAACTTTAATAACGAAAAAAGAATCTTTCGTAAGTATAAACATTTTTACTGATAGATAGAATGATTCTACTTCGTAATAGAATATAATGAAGTAACATATTAAGCATTTACACTGTTTGAACACTAAATAATCGTTAATGTATCATATATTCAGTCGTCAATCTTGTCTTAATTCTATGGAACAGCTGACTGACACATCTGGCTGTGATAATAGGCAACACCGGTTCTAGTTTGACGAGGAAATCCACTTGATTAATGATTGGTAGATACATTTGGATGAGGAACGACAGCTATGGAAAAAGCTAAGATCATCCTTACCCACTGATTGTTTATAACCAACTTATATCAAAATTAAGTTATCTGACAAGTTGAGCGATCCCAATCAATGTAGAAAAGTACATGTATTAAAACTGCTCGTGATGTTTAGCAACTTTGAAGAAATAATGAAATTGTCTATCTCCAGAATAAAGCAACTTCACTTTAAGCCGTCTCTTCCCTGTTTTGAACAAACATATGTGTGACATTTAATGAAAACATCCATGTTCTTTAAGACTGTAATGTCATCCTAATTCATCAACTCGTAGATAATACAGGAAAATATTTCTTTTCTTGATAGGTTTTTTTAAAATATTTTAAAAATCCCGTTGTAGTTCTTCCCCAGTCCAATGTTAAATGAACTTTTTATGATGATATGACAAAATCGACAAAAAGTTGACAAATTGGCTTAAATATTAAGGTCTAAAGGAAAAAAAACAAACAAAATAAAGACTTACCAGTCTTGTTACTGCTTTCACGCCCAAGTTTTTATCATAATCCTTTGTTCTTGTTCTTGCCTCGATGATAATGATGAGACAAATGTAACATAAAAATGTACAAGTGTTATATTTTAGCATATGAACTAAATACTATTTCTCCTAAATAAACAACAGATTATGATACTAGATACTAAAATCTAAGTTTTGTTAGTCAAAATAAATTAAACTGAGTTTATAGTTGACAAAGTTAATGCGGAAGTGTTATCAGAAAGAAATGAGGGCGGAGAAATAAACTCTTCATTTTATACGTATATATATGAGTACACAAAAAAATACAAACTAACACTGATTTAAGGAAACATTTTTCGGATTTCAGATGGTCAAATACAACCACTCAAATTCCAATAACCCAATCAGATTGTACAGAAAGTTTTCATTCCCCACTGTAGATGTAGTTATGCATGCATATACAAAATAGGATACGATAAATGACAAGATTTTATATACAAAAATAAAGTTTGAAAATATTGATTAATTTTCGCTTCTAGGACATTTACATATAAATATACTTGGTTCTGATATGTAACATCTTGTAACGAATTGAATAATGAACAGTGATATGATTGGAAAAGAAGAAAGAATTTCATGTAAATTTAACTCTCATCCTTGTTTATTTCATGATAGTCAGAAACGAATGTAATAGGTAAGGAGTCATCTGTTCAAAGGTGTTCAGCTAAGAGGATCAAGTGGAAAAATGGTCAACGTAGACTCGATCTCAAATAAAGTGTTATTTTCCTGCAAATTGCTCATGAATAATTTCCTGATGATTCTATCTAAAGGTACAACACCACATTCAATCTATACTTTACACGACCAAGTCAGTTAGATAAGTTTTTATAGTGTATTCTTTGATTAACATGATCTGTTAAATTCAGATATCATACTATGAACGAGATATAATAATGATTCTTATAATTTAAAACAACTTATTTATGAAGTCTAAGAAGTTTAGGAAGAATATCAGTCAGTACTTTTAGTGTATCGTTCCCTATACAACGAAAACTTATCAAATCCAAAACTATTTGACAAATCCCAAATGGAAGAATTTTAAAGTATAAATCCACTAATTGAACAGTTGGATGTATTAAGGAGTTAAGGAATGAAATACTTTTATGCAAGGTACTTGGACATGTTAATATGACTTATAAAACAATGATTTACTAATCGACAATGAAAGTGAGAACTTTCATTTCTCTTTGTCATTTTAAATTCATTACACTGTTTAAACGTTTTTCTGTTAAAAACCTCTTATTTCTCTTTTTATTATATAACATCAATATTTTAGGTATAAATAATTATCCCCTTAAAAATGATCTTTACTTGTACTATGGGTCTAGAAATAAATTGTGAGCGACACATTTTCTACCAGACAAAAACGCATTTATTTCAATCTACTGAAATGAAAGCATGATGAAGTAATTTTTTAGCAGTATGGGGTTGTGGAGATTATTAAGTTTTTGGTTGACACCGTGAACCGATTGGTGTTAGACCACTATTTAAATCCTGGAAGCACTGGACGACCGTTTCGTCCTATTGTGGGACTTCTCAGCAGTGTGCATCCACGATCCCGCTAGCGGGATCCGAACCCAGGGCCTGCTGTCCTATGCGCGAACACTTAACCTTTAGACCACCGAGCCGGCATCCAACGTTGTTAATGTCTAGCTTTAACCAATCCACGAAATTGCGCGACCATCTTTTATTGTACCTGTCTCTATCCAACACCGAATACCATTAGCTTTAAATGTTCGAATAAATACTAGAGTTGGATAGCAAGAGTTATAAGTATTACGCATAAATTAACACTTAAACATTTCAAATGTCTAAACAGAACAATTTAACAGGAACGACATTCAAGTGTAGTATTATTGTCATCCTACTAACTACAACAAATTCTGATTTAGATGTTTTAAAAATATTTGATCCAGTCAGATAATCCATCAAGTCATCTTGTGTTCGCTATTTTCTATGTAGACATTGGATTTCTTATTTCTGCACTAGAATTTAACTCTTTGAACATTTGATACGGAAGTTTTCTATAGCACTTTTTATTATGAGATTATAAGTATTTTATTCGGAGTAGTTACTTTGTAGTCATAAAAGATTTTCTCCGTACATCAAGTATTCTGTCCATTGAGTTGGTTAGGATTTAACAATTAAAATCGGTTACGATTTGATTTATATCCAAAAATGCATAATGAATTTTGGTTATTACGCTGGTGTCATCAAGATTAATTTACAATTGGTTCATACCCTATATTGACTGTTTAAATCCAACGTGAGATGGGTATCCATTTAATTCTACTGGTTGCTGGTAAAGCTTAAATAAAATCTATTGAAAGTCGGTCATTGTTTGACTAATACAATGACATTGTTATTTACTACTGTACTGTAATGAGCATTTACATCAATCAGTTGGATCTACTCACTGATGTTTTGTAACCGAAGGCAATAAGTCTAAACCACAGAGCATCCTAAACATGTAACATAAGTGAAAAGGTTTTATTTTAAAACTTTCTTCTATATGAATTATCTTACTAGTAATTCCTTGAGATTAAAATAATTGTCTACAGTCTATCAATGAAAAGGCATTACATATGTCATTTTTTCGTTGCATCAATTTGTGCTTCTCCTCTGAAACTGACTTAAATTTGTTTGCACCTCTAAATATATTTCATTCCATTTGTGAAATTATAAGAAAATTAAATGTTTTATAATCATTACCACCGAGAATACTGATTGAACTTCCCTCCTGTCGATATATTACATTTACACTATCCCCATTAAACTTAAATTAAAATAATATCTAACCCAAAAGTTAGATTATAAGACAACCTGAAGCATTTATGAATGTATACATATCACAGTTATCATTGGTATTGCTGCTCTGTGCTCTCTGTTTCTGTTTTTTTTTATCTAGCTGTAGATAATAATAGTTACTCTGACATAGGACTAGAAATGACCCTAAATACATGGTTCGTACATCAACAGAATGTTCTAGTCTCCTAATAAATAATAGATAGTTCCCAACTGATGCCGCACACTGTCGCAATCCATGAGAAAAATGTACCTTTAATGTACATCAAATTTTCGAACTATAACACATCAAGCAGTCTAAAATCATATGTCTGTCCTTTGCATGCAACGTTGCCATCTGTATCAACTTCATCATGCTTGTTAACCAGCATGTATTACGTAATTATTTTCAGAATATATATTTAGTTATTTAAAAAAAAACTATAAAAGATGAGTCTTTTGATTTTCGTTGATTTTACAAACAATGATCAATATTTATAAATGAGTTAGTTTAGTTGCAATATCATCCATAATCTAACGTACACAAGAAACCAACATATTTACTTGTAGATTCCTTCGACTTAATGCCTAACTCATAATCATATAAGCATCATAGAAACCAAGAATATATCTTGTTATTCAAAAGCTGAACACTCGAAATAATATAGTGCTTACAGATATCTATTGTGTTTGAATTAGTGAAATGTCGTAACAACCATACACAACAAAATTTGTATCCTTTTCAGCACTAAATCCAAACATGTCTTTCAAGTAAATCAGTGCAAAGTCTACTTGTTAAAAAGGTGATTCGGGCTACTAAATGTCAATAAATATTTTTTTATGTTTTCACATCATATAACTCTGATAAAGTCCTAAATGACTTATTCTTCTACCAATTAAGGTTAATATAGTTTCATATAAAACAAACATTTTTCAAAATTATTTGTAATCAGAAAGGACAAGTAGTTCAAAATTTACCTGAGTTATTATTCTGACATTTTGAAAATACGGTCAAAACCTTAGTTAATCCTTCTTTTTCTATTCATGACAATTTACAAATGCCTAGAAGTCCAAACAAATCTACTGTTGTGAAAATTGAATACTTATGATTGAGTACCACTACTATGTGTCTATAAAGAGGTCAACAGACATGGAGCGGATACATACTTGAATGATAGACATGTTTCAGATACAAGTCAGAAGCTATATGCGTCTACTTCAGACCTTCTAAAATAAGCTTATCAAATTATTAAAGACTTAAACCGAGGTCATAATTTATATGACTGAAAACCAGTTGAAACTACAGTTCTCAATCTCCATTTAGTGTTAAGAAAACATATTGCGGTAGTACAGAGAAAAAACTCAGAAATAGTAATCGCCTCATTATCGCTAGCTAACTTCAATTTGTAGATTAATGTTTTAATAAGGTAACTATCATATATATATATATATATATATATATATATATATATATATATCAATTAGGCTTCAAATTCTCAAAGCCCACCAGTATGTAAATAAAATCTATATCGAGAAAATTCATCCCCAATTCCCATAGTTCAACAGAGGCTGATTGATTGTTGTCCTTATTATCAACAATGTAAAAATACCAACCATTATGTACGACACTTCAGTCTTTTTAAATATTCCAGTACATAATTCAGGTTGTAATAGCTAGTAACATGATTTTAAGCAAAATTTATGTAAACTGATGAAAAAACTGTCCTTCACCTTATAAGAAATATTGTCTTCCGTATGCAAATTATAAATTTATTAGAATAAATAAGTAGACAAAAACGTGTTAAACCATAAAATTTATATTAATTATCTAATCATAGAAGGATTGAATGCTAAGATCATTATTACTTACATGTTATATGATATACTATGGTGACAGAAAATATATTTAATCATCAGATTTACAAATCTCAGTGGATGCGCACTGCTGAAGAGTCCCATACTAGGACGAAACGGCCGTCCAGTGCTTCAAGATTTTCCATAGTGGTCTAGCTTCATTTGACTCATGATTTCTATCAGTGAAATTTCTAAAATCTCCACAAAACCCCTTCTGATAAATCTCAGTACGTCGAAAAATGATTAGTAAGATTATGCCATACGTTAATGATTTTAAGTATTTTTAAACCAGTTTTTATTAAGTTATTTGAACCATCTCTCCGTTCATTTTATTGAAAGCTCATTTTATAAACCTCACATGTTTATAAAACGAATGAGTTGACTAAAGTGCAATCGCATTTAACTCCGCCTGGAGCCCCTCTGGGGCCACTGCCAGTCTCAAGCCCGGATGGGGGAGGAGGGTTGGGCATGGGGTTAGCGACCCTATCCTGTAGAAAACTAACTCGCTAAAAAGACGATAACTAACAATCGAATTTACCGGGAAACTGATGTATACAATCTGGCAATAAAACACCACGCTTAATAATACCCAATGAAAAATGACCATCAGTTAATTGAAGAACAAAAGTAATTGAATCATAGTTTTAATATTCGGAAAGTTCTAGATTCATTTTACTGACACTAACATCAAAATTCAATGTTAAGAAGAATTTCAAAGAAACAAAACACGTTTGTTGAGCTCGTATAATAACCTTATCATATTAAGTTTAGGGGTATTTAAATTGACAGAAAAAGCTGACATCACAGATA